TCTCATTTCTCGTTTTTTTATATAGATTAGACCGTTGGTTTTCCTGTTTGAATGGTTTTTTACACTAGTCATTTGTGGGGCCCTTTATAGCTTGCTGTTCGGTGTGAGCCAAGGCTCCCTGTTGAAGGCCGTACTTAAATTGACCTATAATGGTTTACTTTTACAAATTGTGACTTGGATGGAGAGTTGTCTCATTGGCACTCATACCACATCTTCTTATATCTATGACAGTTGTATTTTAAAAGACGAATTTATTTACTTGCTATTAAACATCATTTAGTATACTTTTATGCCTTTTGTCAACTTAAAACTATTGTCTGATCGGTTATCAGTAGAATGTTTTCGAAAGTTCAAAAAACACTAAAAATAATGTGATTAATTATCTTGTGAGATGGCAGATTAAACATTTTCAGAGGTTAATGAATAATTACCCTAGATAACACACACAAAAAGTGATTTTTTTTTTGAGTTATGCACAAAAAAGATCCACAAGTAAAGTCTGTTATCAAAACTAATGCTTTTAGTGAAAAAATATATTATTCAAACACTCCTACTCTGTTGTTATGACTCATTAAAAGGGTATTTTCACTTTACCCACAAGTTTCATTTCTTAGTACTGTGACTTTGTAATGTTATTTTATCGACATGTAGCCTTAACATATAAAAAAAATAATGGAATCAGAAGCGAGATGCTGTATCAAATAGTTTGACTTTATACGTTTTCAAGACAAAGCAGTCAACTCAGACACGCCTGAACATAAAAATTTGTACAGACTTTCTCTTTTCGATGAGTTTATTGCCCATTTTTAGTTTTTTTTTCCCAAAAAAACTGTGACCGGGGGCAGAGATGCAAATTAATGCTTTAAAAATACCAATTTTTTGTCTTTCTGTGGAATTTATGCTTATACACAAAATAGATTCACATGAATTTGCACCTACCTTAATCGCATGTTTTGTAAAAATTTGTCTCTAATTTAAAAGTGTACAAATATCTCGAAGCTCCATTCTACAATTTAAGTCAAAATACGTATATAAGATTCAAAACATTCTAAATTATGCACCTACATCTTTTAAAGCCCATAGAAACAGATGAAAACAATTTAAAGATACTAACTTTACCATTTTTAGCTCACCTGGCCCGAAGGGACAAGTGAGCTTTTCTCATCACTTGGCGTCCGTCGTCCGGCGTCGTCCGGCGTCGTCCGTCGTCGTCGTTAACTTTTTACATTTTGAACTTCTTCTAGAGAACCACTGAATGGAATGAAACCAAACATGGCATGAATGTTCCTTATGAGGTGCTGACCAAGTATTGTTACTTTGTAGCCGATCCATCATCCAAGATGGCCGCCAGCGGGGGACTTAGTTTAACATAGGACCCTATGGGAAATACATACAAATGTCTTCTTTTAGAGAACCACTGAATGGAATGAAACCAAACATGGCATGAATGTTCCTTATGAGGTGCTGACCAAGTGTTATTACTTTGAAGCCGATCCATAGTCAAAGATGGCCGCCAGCGGGGGACTTAGTTTAACATAGGACCCTATGGGAAATACATACAAATGTCTTCTTTTAGAGAACTACTGAATGGAATGAAACCAAACATGGCATGAATGTTCCTTATGAGATGCTGACCAAGTGTTGTTACTTTGAAGCCGATCCACCATCCAAGATGGCCGCCAGCGGGGGACTTAGTTTAACATAGGACCCTATTGGAAATACATACAAATGTCTTCTTTTAAGGAACCACTGAATGGAATGAAACCAAACATGGCATGAATGTTCCTTTTGAGGTGCTGACTAAGTGTTGTTACTTTGAAACCGATCCATAATCCAAGATGGCCGCCAGCGGGGGACTTAGTTTAACATAGGACCCTATGGGAAATACAAACGAATGTCTTCTTTTAGAGAACCACTAAATGGAATGAAACCAAACATGGCATGAATGTTCCTTATGAGGTGCTGACCAAGTGTTGTTACTTTGAAGCCGATCCATCATCCAAGATGGCCACCAGCTGGGGACAGTGTTTGTCGAAGGACCCTATGGACAATACATACACATGTCTTCTTTTAGAGAACCACTAAATGGATTGAAACCAAACATGGCATGAATGTTCCTTATGAGGTGCTGACCAAGTGTTGTTACTTTGAAGCCGATTCATAATCAAAGATGACCGCCAGCGGGGGACTCAGTTTAACATAGGACCCTATTGGAAATATTTACAAATGTCTTCTTTTAGAGAACTACTGAATGGAATGAAACCAAACATGGCATGAATGTTCCTTATGAGGTGCTGACTAAGTGTTGTTACTGAGAAGCCGATCCATCATCCAAGATGGCCGCCAGCGGGGGACTTAGTTTAACATAGGACCTTATGGGAAATACATACAAATGTCTTCTTTTAGAGAACCACTGAATGGAATGAAAAAAAACATGGCTTGAAGGTTCTTTTTGAGGTGCTGACCAAGTGTTGTTACTTTGAAGCCGATTCATAATCCAAGATGGCCGCCAGCGGGAGGACTTAGTTTAACATAGGACCCTATGGGAAATACATACAAATGTCTTCTTTTAGAGAACCACTGAATGGAGTGAAACCAAACATGGCATGAATGTTCCTTATGAGGTGCTGACCAAGTGTTGTTACTTTGAAGCCGATCCATAATCCATGATGGCCGTCAGCGGGGGGGGGGGGGGGGGGGGGGATGGGGGTTGGGGGCTTAGTTTAACATAGGACCCTATTGGAAATACATACGAATGTCTTCTTTTAAAGAACCACTGAATGGAATGAAACCAAACATGGCATGAATGTTCCTTATGAAGTGCTGACCAAGTGTTGTTACTTTGAAGCCGATCCATCATCCAAGATGGCCACCAGTTGGGGACAGTTTTAACAAAGGACCCTATGGACATTACATACAATGTCTTCTTTTAGAGAACACTGAATGGATTGAAACCAAACATGGCATGAATGTTCCTTATGAGGTGCTGACTAAGTGTTGTTACTTTGAAGCTGATCCTTCGTCCATGATGGCCGCCAGCGGGGGGACTTCCTTTAACATAAGACCCTATTGGAAATACATACAAATGCTTCTTCTAGAGGTGCACTGAATGGAATGAAACCAAACATGGCATAAATGTTTCTTATGAGGTACTGATAAAGTGTTGCTACTTTATTGCTGATTTACTGTTCAAGATGGCCACCAGGATTTTTTATTAAATTACAGGGCCAATATTAAACCAAATTTGGCCTCACTCATTATTATGGTATCTGTAACGATTTTAATCTATTTTAACATGATTTCCAAAACCAAAGTAGAATCAGGTGAGCGACACAGGCTCTTGAGAGCCTCTAGTTACCTTTTCTAATAAAGAGTTCCATTTATTTTGTTTAATTTCAAGTGGATATCAGCCTGGTACTGATATCAACGTGTAGTTTTGAATTTTCCGTGGAGTTTGGTATTTTTGTTATTTTACATTTTTCTTATATAATAGCTGTCCCTTGGGAGACATTTTCATAGATAATTTCATTCTAAATATTCCATATGGAAAGCATATTCCATAAAATTTGTTCCGTGAGGAATAAATATTATAAATTCCATAATATTTTTTCCATTTGGAACACTGACATGGAGCAATCGAATTGCAGAAAGGAAATGGATCCTGAAGAAAGGAGAGAAGGGAAACAATCGAAAAAAGTCGGGAGTGAGAGAAACAAACCCCCTGCATATTTTTAATTTTTGCTTGTTCAAAATAAATTGCGACGAACCTTTGAAATTAAAGGGGGTTTATTTACTCGCGGTCAGAACTTTTAGATGGGCTGCACACAATGTAAACCCGTCTTTTTATATAATTAACAGCACAACGTAAGAAAAAAGTAAAATCACAAAAATACTGAACTCCGAGGAAAATTCAATTGGAAAGTCCCTAATCACATGGCAAAATCAAATGACAAAACACATCAAACGAATGGACAACAACTGTCATATTCCTGACTTGGTACAGGCATTTTCAAATGTAGAAACACACCGTAAAAATCAGTTGGGAACGGCTTGCATCATAAGATCGGCACGATGCACAAAAACAACTTATAATAAAGATGAAAAAGGTATAATACCATTTTCAGTTAAAATTAAAAACTTTGACCATTATTGAACCAAAAATTATTGTTTTGTAAAGTGTGCATCTGCAGCTGAAAAACAAGAGTACATAAGAAACCATTCAGAAACCGTAACCCTAAACTCAAACTGCAAAAAACACGTTCTTAGTAATATATATGCCTGAGTGCTCATCTTGTAGGCACAATGTTTAACCTAGTAATCTTATTCGATTGGACTTTAAAAATTTCATAATATGATTATTTCTTATATTCTTGTCCCGATCAGTCGTACATATAATTCGTCAATTCTTTAACCATTTTGTATTTAATTTCTAATGAATATTTACGCAGACCATGATACTTTTGTCCCCGTTTAAATACACCTAAATCAATTTGATTCGCTCATCAGTTTACATCAGTAATATCTCAGAGATATTTGAAAATTGGTGTGGATCATTATTATTCATCAGGGATTCTGCATCTTATGTCGGCATGGGTCTTTAGCTACTCTGTAACTAGTGTGTTTACACGGAGTTAAAACCATAGCAAATGGCATTCAAAATCATTGTTGAAAGATGTTTTAAGCAGTGGTATTTGGCAATCCCTTTTGGTCGGTTGCAACCAATTTATACTTTTTTCGGAAATTTCATAAAAAGATTCAACTACATTTTGATTGCTAAAACAATTGTATCCAATCTATATTACATTCTTAACTTTATCCATGTCATTAGATGTTTGCCTTTAATGGCCTTTAAATCGAACTTATGAGAGCGAAACCGGCTCCAAGGAGCACGGAATTTACGTCCATGTTCGAAATTGTGTGTAATGTACAGCGGGCATATATGACACAGGACACATATAGCCGACGGTTTTAATATATTGGATTTTATTCCTGAATTGCAGGAAGTGCAATAGCAGGAATTGTAGTTGCCATTGTGTTCCTTGGTGTACTAGTGATTATATTAATAGTTATGTTATGGAGACACAAAAAAACAGGTTAGTATGTTATTTAATCTTCTGATAGTTACATGCATTATCACATAAAACAGTTACTTCAAAATTTAAACTTAAACAAATGCAACAACAAAAAATCAATATAAGTTTAAAACACAAAGGATTGATTGTTGCTATCAGAAAGTCAAGTGGCAAATATTTTGTGTTTATTTAGAACTGGAGCAATTTAATACAGAAATATTTGCATGTTACGTAATTCGATCGTGGTAAAGTGCGAGAAATTAAAACTCCACTAACTAAGGAAGCTAGTATGTTCGATAAGCAGAAATCATTTACCCTTCCAGAGATCAGACGTGGCTGCGTATTAAAACATCTAACATACCAAAAGGAATGCCCTTTTTTTGGGTGAGGTCAAGGTGACCATATTTCTATAACCCAGTCAACCCTTGAAAAATAAGGTAGGGAAACAAACATAAAAGTAAAATAAGTTTAACAAATAAACCAGTTAAGTAGGTTATGGAAAGTGGGTTGATCATAATAAAGGACAGCAAATTTGAACTTTCAATGAGAAAATATCATGTTATGAAATTTTAAAATAAGGAGATGTGATATGATTGCCAATGAGACAACTATCCACAAAAGTTCAAATGGAGTGGATGCGTAAGCATTTATAGGCAACCGTACGAATGTTTGCTTTTCAATAGGACACCTACACAATCCTACAAGTATGAATAAAAAGAAAGGTAGGGTCTGCGTCAACAAGAAATCAACATAAATACAAACATATCCAAAAGGGTCAGTATATGCCCTTCAAGAATAGTCGGGATCCAACCTTCAACAACAGACATGATCCTAAACAATGTGTAAAGCTCCCAACCGTCCCGAGTTTTAAAAAAAAAGTAGCAACTAAATAAACAGAAACAATCTAAGATTTGCCATTAACATCAAATTTTCCAAATAGCAAACATCAAATTTTCCAAATAGCAAAAAAAAACATTAAAATATCACATAAGTAACCCCTGACAATGTACATTACTTAGACAGACACATAAATATGCAATAGAATTAAATTAGCGACGAAAGTTGCGGAAGACGAGACATAGGTCAGTTTTAGAGGAACTAATTGTCAATAAATTGTACCATAACAAATAATTATCATAGTAACTGAAAGCAAGGTCAAAGTACTTCTGTTGATAAGAAATCATGCCATCCGACACTTTTTTTTATTATTGTACTATATTGAAGATATTATGTATACAGATTCTACCACTGCATCGAGTGTGATACGATATTTTTCCACTGGAGACATTTAATTTTCAAAATTAAAACGCGAGGCTCGCCAAGCGTTTTAAGTATCTAAAATTTAACTGTCGAGAGTGGAGAAATATCGTATTGCATGTGATTTGCTGGTAAAATCTGTTTCTCTAACTATAAATGGACGATATGAAGACAAACTAAATCCTACTTTTCCAATGATCTGCAAAAAGATGTGTACTCTGTATGTAACGTCACAAGACGAAATTCATAGGAAAGTAAGAAAATGTGATGTTAATTCTATTTGAATTTTTATAAATGAAGAACTGAGATCAAACGAACCACACGTTAATTAAATAAAAACAATCAACAGGTCAAGAAATGGATGAATTGGCTATGAATTGGAGAAAACATCTTATACAACAATACCGAAAACAAGCAGTTAAGAAAAACGAAAAGAGACACACAAGTATTTCTTCAAACTACAAACATTATTAGCGAATTGATGTTTATTCAAAAAAAATACCAGGCCCAGTGATTGAACAACAAGACTATAATTTATCAATAAATCTATTAATTACACCTTATATAAGAATGCCAGATTTTGATTGGTTGGTAGCCAGTGTATTTTTCGCATATTCTAACCTTTTTTCCTCATTTCAAACGAATTTGCCTGTTTTTCACCACTGCCGATGAATATGCCTCAAATTCCCCTCTATGCCGTGGTATTTGCCATTTTGGATATTCCTTTTTTACCCTCGCGGAATCTTTCTCCCGATTATTAACTCTTTCAGTGCCAGGAAATATTCCGCAATTTTCCGTTTACTGCCAAGCTTGTTTTTTTCTAAAGTACACAAGAATATTTGCCGTCAGTGACGATAACAATAACGTCACGTCATCAGATTTTGAGTTAAAGGGTACGACGTCTTTCGGTGATTGAACGGCAATTTTGAGAAGTCTTGCTTCCATATGCGTAGAAGTAAATTGTATTTTTGTCGGTAATACTTTTATTAAAAATAATTTACAAAAATCTCCAAGGCATAGGTAGGTTTTGTTTGGATTATGTATTTCTATTTAAATTGGAAGAGATGGTTCTACAGCGTTCAAACAAACAGTGGATAGGTGTCTCATTGGCAATCATAACACATCTCCTTATTTTTATAGAGTACTTACTGATACAAAATAAAACAACTTTTGGATAGCTTTTGAAAACGGAAGCATAGTTACAAATTTTCTTTATTAAGATACCAGTACTGGTGCTTTAATGTTTAAAAGTAAAGAAGAAAAAAAATAATTGCAAATACAAAGAGCAATACATGTAGCTGAAAAAAATAAACATTGTGATTGAAAAAGGTTATACTGTGGGTTAGCTTAATCTCCCTTTTTTCCCGCCTGCTTTTATCTTTTACTAACAATTTACAAAATTTCTTTTTTTCAGAAGAGATTTTAAACTCTTTAAGAAAATTTTGTAATCAAAAACTTTCATCTTCAAATCGTGCTGAAAAAAATGTGAAAAATAGAGAGCGGCAAAAGCATGTCATTGAGAACTAAAAATCGTAATTTTTCACTCTGTCGTCTTTATTTTATTTTTTACACAGAAAGAATTTTTTGATTATTTTTTGATTATTTTGATTTAAAATGCATATAGTTTTATATGTATCCTTTCGTTCGTTTGTTATATATAATTGGCAGTGATTGGGTTTCAATTCTAATAAACTTTACACTAATTAAAATTTTCCTGCGATTAAAAAACCCTAATAGATAGAGTTTTTTTATAACTGCATGAAAAGAACACTTATCATACCTACTCATTTTTTTTATTCTAAAAGAAAACTTGTATTCACTGTCCTTCTTTTCGCGCCATTGGAGAAAAACGGAAATTTTCTATAGACACTCAACAATTCAAATGAAACACCACTTCTGTCCATACATATAGCAATTTTCAAATATAATCTTTAAATTATTCCTTTGGAAATTTTCGTTTTTGTGGCGACAATGGGGATTTCAACCAAAACGTCAAAATTCAAAAATCTAAGGTAAGTTTTTATTTAAATTGGTCATTACAGAAAAAAAATAAGATCAAAATTTTAACATCGTACTCATTTCTTAGATAAAACTATATTATCGAATTGCAACGACGATTCGTCAGTCAAACTACATTATAAACCAAAACAGAACCTTAGTATTGCTGTAAGTTTAATCGCTTCTAAATGCAGGTCATCCATCAAACAATATACATTCCTTCGAAAGTTGCGAAATTTGGAGTTAAACTTTGGGTACTAGCCGAGGCCGTCAATGGTTATATTTCTCAAATCAGTGTTTATAAAGGCAGACAATTCGATCCAACACCATAGGGAATGTCACAGGGTGCATACGTTGTTAACAAACTGCTAGTTTAACCGCTGGATTATTTTCGCAAATCCTAACATTTATGGAGAGATTTGGCTGATATGATGATTTTTTAATACACTTTCCAAATTTATTTCTTTATATTTTATGCATGAAATAGTAAGTAGGGGATGAAATTACATGTAAAAAAAATTGGGGCATGAATTTTTCGGTAAAGTAGTGATTTGGTCCAGTTTGAAAAGATAAAAAAAATTAGTATGTCTAAAGCTGTCAAACCGAATTAAACCCCTTAACATAAAATTGTACATATTTTAAATAAGAGTCGATAGACTTTTCTATAATTTTTGATATAATTTGTCCCAAAAGTAGTACACCACACTGTAAAAATCTTTTTTGTATAGAGCAGGTGCGATTTTTTTTAATTTGCATTTTTTGTCTAAAAGAAATGCTCTACGAAATAACTGTGTTCTCGGGGCCAATCATTTGTGTGTTGAATCTAGATTCAAAATATATTCTTTGTTTCTGATAAAAGAGTTTTTATTGTAATACCAGGTTTCTTTTAGAATGGAGAAGTGAGAACATAAGACAACCCTGTACACCTATATGAATAAATGATTGATAATGCATCAAATCCACACCCCTCCCACAAAGATAGCTCTGTATGATCACGACAAGCACTAAGTCTTAATTACTCAACTTAACTAATCCCTAGATGGTAATTTTTAATTGGATTTTTTTTTGTCAATCAGGTATTTAGATTCGCTGTTCGAACGTTTTAGGCTTGTTGTTTGTTTGATAATTCCATAATTTCTATCCTGGGCACTACTAAGATTCATTATTTGACGAAAAGTGCACATACAGTGCATCAACATTTATTTCAGAAGTTGCACATTTCGACTGCTATCATTAATTAGTGAAACTTCTCTATTTCTTTAATATATTTCTTTTATATTAAAAAAAAACAGAAAAATTAGCAGAAAGTCCACAAAATAAAAACAAATTAAAAATTGCGTAATCCATAAACGTACGGCCGACGCAACTAAAATAAAAATTTGAAGGCACTTTGTATGCATAACGTTACATTTTGTTACGGCACAGTTCTTCATCTGTGTAGACACTCCCATAGTACACATCACTGAACACAACGTCACTGAAGCCTATTGTTCGACGTAAGGAAAAAAACATCGGCCGAAAATCGGCCCGTGGCAGTCAACGTAGTATTTACAAATCGGCCTAAAATCGGCCCGTGGCACAGAAAACGTTAAGGGCATACGATACAGTTACAGGGGAGGTAATGACGTTGCTAACGTAAATTGTTATTTTCGCGACGTCAAACTGTGACTTATCGGGAAAAGATGCAGTTTTCGACTGATTTTTATCATTCAAACTGATTTAACTTGAAAACGAGTTCATGGACCCCTCTTTTTTAAAGTGACATTTGGTTTGATTACGTATGAAGATTATGTATACCAATTTTCATGAATAAGTCAATAGTGCAATTTTTTTAAATTTCATAAATGTACAGCAAAAAATGACGTTATTTTTCTACATTCATGAACATTTGATAAATATGAGTTAATTTCAAAAATAGAATGTACAAATTTATAGAACATTTATATAAAAAAGAAATTACAAATAATTTAACAAAAAACAGCTTGTGTTTATCTTTTTAAACAAAAAAGTTATGTATTTCTGTCGAAAGGAAAAATACGTCCACAAATCCGAATTTTGAGGAAATATCTGAAATTTCAACCTCAATTTACTCAAAAAGTAGCACATGATGGTATATTTTTTATTACATATTTGATTTAATCAGGTTAAAAAATAGCCTATATGCAAATTTTCATCAAAATTTCAATATGGGATCAAAACTGTATCGTATGCCCTTAAGGCAACATGATAAAGCAATATTGATTGATAGAGGTAATCCGAAAACTGTAAACAAAAATGTCATACAACACGACTGCACGGCACCAATCTCGTGATCGTATATTGAAGAATGCGTTGTGTATATAAAGTGGAAAAGACGTCTATACAAATGGATGATTTAATGATGGAATGACAATGACGTTTACACATGGATACCATGACGTTACATAAAGACAGCGCTAACGCGTATAAGTACATGTATAATTCCCGCGATACTATGATAGTCTCTACTTATCCTCAAATTATGCATAAACATGTTTATGGATTACAGCTAACTAGTAAAAAAAAAGATTTCCCTTCAATTGTACAGAGAGTTTCAATCAAAATCTATTAGGTGTAATTAAACAGATATATCATGTTACGGAGGGGTATTTGCGAAAAATTCCAGTCTTGGGACCAAATTTCCATCGCCTAGCGGCTCGGGAAATTTCACAGTCCCTTGACTGGTATTTTTCGCAAATACCCCTCCATAACATGATATGTCTGTTCACAATCCAATGAGAACGATTTGAACAACAACTGCTACACCATTGTTTAGCTTTATAAAGAATATCACCGCAGGAAGATTGATACGAAATTCCACTTTTTTATGCCCCGCCGTCGCGGAGGGGAAATTAAGTTTTACCCTTGTCCGTCGTTACGTCCGTCCGTCCGTACGTCCCGTACGTCCATACGTCCCAAAATTGGTTTCCGTTCTCTAACTTTAGTTTGCCTCAACCAAATGTTTTGAAACTTATAGACAATGCTTATTACCACAAAACACAGATCAAGTTTGAATTTTGGGGGTGTCACTTTTACATTTCTAGAGTTAGGTCCGTTTACAAATGGACAAATTGCAGATTTGTTCGTTTCCGTTCTCTAACTTAAGTTTGCCTCAACTAAATGTTATGAAACGTATTCACAATGCTTATTACCACAAAACTCAGATCAAGAGTTATGTCCCTTTATAACGTTATATGCAAGCGGGGCATCATCTGTGTCCCATGGACACATTCCCCATTTATTTTATCAACCTTGGATGGTGAAATTATACGTTACAAAAAATCTCAAAACTTATGATCAAATTTAGTAAAAGTCTTTTCCAGTTTATTAAAATTATATCCTTGCTGTAAACGTTAATAATAATAAAAATATCGCGTTCATTGATATCACTCGCATATCAGATATATTTATACACTCCGCAAGAAAGAGCTACCGGAACATCTATTTCACGGAAAGAAAAATTAACTGAAAGAATGTGAAAGTGTTTATGGATATCATATCATTTAGATATCTACTTTATTTGTGGGAGTACTATCTATTAAGTAGAGTTCAGTTGGATCTTTAATAAACTTGGTCATAAGTTGTGATTTACAGTACAGGGATAAATCTGCAATTAGAAAGTTCCGATTAGTTTTGCAATACAAATCACTTGCCTTCATACTTTATCTGTAAAGCCAAAATTGATATGAAAACGATAAAGTAATGCCTATGTTTCGCCGACACTAATTCAAAATTACCGATGATGAATTATTTAAAATTAAAAGGTATAAAACAGACGAAAATTCAATTGAATTAAAATCTGGAATTGCAAAAACTCCATACGAAGTGTGACTAGTTGTAGCGATTGGCTTGAGCATATACTGCCTCAAAGTCACAAAGAGCAGCAATAAATGTAAAACCACAGAAAATTGTCAAACTGGTAATGAAATCATTTTGACTATTGTTGACATGTAGGATCTATGACAAAGTTTAAAATTCACTTATAAGTCAAAGAATTGAGACATTGTTTCAAACATCACATTGACAACAATACAATTGCGAAATTCAACGACCAAACGTTCTTCACATCACCTTTTTGGGATACTTTTTGAAGAAAAATGTATACCAGTGAAAGAGAAATCTCTATAATTAAACCAGCACTGGTATATCTCTTCACCTAAGTTACGCAAACGCCATTAGAAGAGCGTGTGTCTCCTAGATTTAAAAAAAAAACTGAAATCTCACTTTTAAAAGATTTAGGGATTCAGCTGGAAAGAAACTACCCTGTCTGATGCATTTACTACATGAGTATGAACACACTAGCCTCAGACCAAAAAATGTGTTTATATTAAATCTATAAAGGTATATATAAAATGTATGTATAGTGATTATAAATGCAAGTGCTCTTAGTTATGAAACTTTTCTGTTCATTTTAGCAAAAAAAGAAGCTACATGCAGTCATTCAATTAATTTGTTTGATAATTCGAATGTGGACCTCTCAAAGGTTATGACAGTCGAATGGATACATGAGCTGTTTAGAAATGAGGACCTAAAGTCTAAAAGCGGACAACCTTCAATTATTCCTTGTGTTTCAATGGAACATTCTGGAAAGTGGACATGCACGATACAATTTAAAGAATCAAGACAATCGAAAACCATTAGCCTTTATCTGACGGTAAATGGTAAGTTGAACTTAATCCACGACAATAAATCATACAATTTTACATAGAAAATTTTATCAAGAAAAGCTATTGTAGGATTTTCTTTTTTATATTTGTTATGATAGCAGCATTTCAAATACTGTCGAGGCAGGAAGCAAGAGTAGTTTACCGATGTTTAAATCTCAGAAATCCATTAAGGAAACAAATCAAGATATAAAAAAAACTCAGGGTGTCCCGTGAATTGCAAAATAAGCAAACCAGATGCGGTGACAGGGTAAGCGTCTCTGCTATGTTTGCATAGGACTGAAGTTTCTAGTTTCATAACTGTTTTGATTTCTGAAAAAAAACATAAAATGTTTCAATGCAGGTGTACTAAGATGATTGGGAAAGACTCTAAATGCAGAAGTGTGTTTGTCAACATATTATTTTCCTTCTTACCGTGATTTCTATGGAATTTGTATGCTCCCGCCGTAGCGGAGGGGGCATTAAGAGTTACCCTTGTCCGTCTGTCCGTCCGTACGTTCGTCCCAAAATTGGTTTCCGTTCTCTAGTTTTAGTTTGCCTCAATCAAATGTTACGAAACTTGTGCACAATGCTTATAACCACAAAACACAGATCAAGTTTGAATTTGCTGGCTTCACTTTTACCGTTCTAGAGTAATGCCCGTTTACAAATGGAAAAATTGCTGAATTTTTCGTTTCCATTCTCTAACTTAAGTTTGCCTCAGCAAAATGTTATGAAACTTATACACAATGCTTATTACCACAAAACTCAGATCAAGTACAAATTTAGGTAGCGTCACTCTAATAGTTCTTGAGTAATGTCCCTTTATAACATTATATGCAAGTGGGGGCATCATCTGTGTCCCATGGACACATTCCCCATTTATGTTTTAAAACAACGCTATATTATCTATTTCTGTTGGGAAATATATTGTATACCCATTATTCCTTCGGGAATAAATATACTATGTCCTTTATTCCTTCTGGAAGAAATAATCTAATATTTCATTCAGTTGGAATACTAGTTTAAACGATGTCGTTAATGATATAAGACTTTTTTTTATCACAACCTTTCAAATTAATGGAAACTGTATGTTTTCTCAGATGAACTCGCTCTTTCCAAATTTTAAGCACTTGATTCATAGCGATAACTTCAGTGTAAGGAATGTCGATATTTGTTTGTGTTTTAATTGATGAAGGCGAAATATAGATGTAGTTTTCTGCACTATGAAGGAGGTTTGCTAGGTGGAAAGATAGATGCTTACTATTAATAACAATAAATATGAACGTTAATTATATTTTTAATAAGACAAAAGGAATATTCCCATGTATGTATGTTTCTATTCAATATTTAGCTTCGTCCATTAATGCCTTTTGCGGTCGGATCACGTACCAAGATATTTGTTTGTTTGCATCGGGCACGTGGATGACATGCATTTTTTTTTATAATCATAAAACATGTCAAAACCAAATAACTAAGTTTATCAACATGCAAGTAACAGTGCCTTAGAATGACAATTTTTACCCATAGTTTGCGGTTTTTTTTCATAATCTACAGTAGATATAGAGAATTTGTAAGTAAACAAAATGATCAACAAAATCAAATCTACATATAAGTAAATGCGACCGAAATCGTCAGTCGACAAATAATAAGAGTTATTGCCCTAAGAATGAAGATTTTTAAAATCTTTCGGGAAATATAATATTCATATGTTATTTACATTTAAGGGTAATCTACAATCAATATCAGTCGTAAGAATATTTAAGTAAAGAGGCTCGGATCTTGATAGAAATTCTTTTCTTCCCCAGACTAAATAATTTGAATCATGCAGTCAGATAGAAGACTCCAATGTAAGATTTTCTTGAATACTCGAGTAGCATGCGAATCAAAATTAAATTTGTGAAAAAACCATTCTTGTATCTTAGGAATCGAGTCGTTTACATGCAAATATATGTTTACAACCACTGGGTTGATGCCACTGCTGGTGGAGTTTTTATTCCCCGAGGGTATCACCAGCCCAGTAGTCAGCACTTCTGTGTTGACATGAATTATCATTGATATGGTCATACATTTGTAATTATAAATTAACTGTTTACAAAACTTTGAATTTTTGAAATACTAAGTCTTTTTTACCTCAGGAATAGGTTACCTTAGCTGTATTTGGCAAAACTTTTAGGAATTTTTGGTCCTCAATGCTCTTCAACTTCGTACTTTATTTGGCCTTTTTAACTTTTTTTCTATTCGAGCGTCACTGATGAGTCTTTTGTAGACGAAACGCGCGTCTGACGCAAATACAAAATTTCAATCCTGGTATCTATGATGATTTTATTTTGATTGCTGTAGAATATTTGAAACGAAATGTCGGGCAAAAGACAGTATCCCAATGATAGAAAAAAATATATCTACTCATATTACTTTGTCAAAAAATAAACGAAAATGTACAATTGACTTTTTCAACCGCTATGCTGAGTTCTTTTTTCAATTATTGAACCCATAACACATTCTAATATTGTTGATTAACAGTCAAATTTATTATACCTACATTTAGAAATTAGCCTGTACGTATCCACATCATTTTCGTGAAAGGTCATACTTTATGCATTATATTGTATTCAGAACCCTCGAACATTATCTACAAACTATTATGGTAACATATGGTGTTTTTTCCTTGATTTGTCACATTCTTTTTACATTGTTTTTTACATTTTGTGACACATTTCAAATCGGACCATACGCTACTGAAGAATTTCGACTGACGAACAGGATGATCCGCTCATATGTACAGGTCATGCTCTCTAGAGCCAATTTTGTGCTTACATCGTGAATCACCTAATGGGGGTTGACTTATCGAGATACCGCGAGAGTATTGGCCGGTTCTAATGTGCTGCGCATAATTTCAAGAACGGAAAGAGATTATCACCCATTGATGTAGTTTACATTTCAGCTTTTGCAAACTACGATATTCGTATGTTTCCGGTTACTATTCTTTTTCATTTTGAATTTTACCAAGCTGATACACGTGGTATCAATTCATATTAAGCCGAGAAATATTTGTTATTTGTATCTTTTTTTTTGTTGTATATCCTACATAGAAGCAAACCAAGGTTTGTTTACTGCAGAGTCTATATCTTGTAGCAATAGTGGCCTCGATGATGTTTTCAGATATGCACCAAAGCTTGAGTTGACTGCGGCTGAATATTCTTGCCTTGCTGGCAAAGAAGTCATTGTGCTTCTTATTTTTCTGGGTTTTAAAGCACCATTTCGAAGAGATCGGGTAGGGAGGACTTGGGGGGAAAGTGGGGGTTCTAGTATATGTTAAAGATAATTTGAATTACGCTGACAGGCGAGACTTATTATTTTGTAATATTGAGTGCATATCGCTTGATGTTAGATTCAAGACCAAAATATATTTTTAAGGGACCTTTTACGTCCAACCTAACAGTATACCCCTGGTATGGGATGAAATAAGAACAGTCTATCGACTTTTCCTTAATTTCTATATCATAGTTACAGGTGACTTTAACATCAACCAGTTAAGGATGGTAGAATTAGTATGAAAAAAGCTCAATACAGTCTACTGTGTCTTTCTATGTTGTGATGTTTCACTATTGTTTCAGATAAGGGTGAAGGTTTGGTACCATTAAAACGTTTAAACCCGCTGCAATTGTTTGCACCTGTCCTGAGTCTTGAATCTGATGTTCAGTAGTTGTCGTTTGTTAATGTGGCTCATAAGTGTTTCTCGTTTCTCGTTTTTTATATAGATTAGACCGTTGGTTATACCGTTTGAATGGTTTTACACTAGTAATTTTTGGGGCCCTTTATAGCTTGCTGTTCGGTGTGAGCCAAGGCTGAAGACCGTACTTTGACCTATAATGGTTTTATTTTATAAATTTTTACTTGGATGGAGAGTTGTCTCATTGGTACTCATACCACATCTTCTTATATCTATACACCAACTAATTTCCGACCCAACTTATACCACATAACACAGTTCCTCATTACTTGACATTATTCTACTTAATAACACATGAAACCTGTGATTGTCTGATGTTGGGACTCCGTTACTGGATCGATATTTACCTGTAATAGTTATCTTAACTCAACCTGGCAAATTGCATCAAGTTTTTATGCGTTAATTGTACTTGTATAATAGAAGTGACTATGACTCATATCAACACCAGCTATCACTTGTTGACTGGGACGCTTTATTTATTTCATACGACGTTGATGCTATAGCACGTGCCATAACAGACGAACTTATTGACAAGGCAAATAAAAACACTCCTTACCGTTTAATTACAGTCAGAAAAGATAAATCACCATGGCGTAACACTGATATTAAATGGATCATTCGTAAAAACAATCGTATCCATAAAAGAGCCAAAAGAACTAATTCCGTTAAGAACTATACAAAATTTCAATTAATTAGGAAGAACTGTAATTAACTAGTTTTAATCTCAAAAACTGAATATTTCTCGAAACTGTCAACCAAAATTATATCTGAAACTCGTGGTGGTACACAAGATTGGAGTCTTAATTAATCATTTGTATTAGGAAACAGATTAATACAAGTTAACAGCTTGTTCCCGCATACTATTAATTATTCAATTGTATATATATTTTTGTGCCAAATAGTGTATATTATTAACTTGAATTTGATTAATAAAATATGTTTACACTAAAACGTCGATTTTTGGTAGCAGATTGGTAAATACACCAAAAATGAAGTCTGGGACTATATTAATCGGCACGTTACGTTTGCGCGAATTCGTCCTACGTTTGCGCGACAAAACACATTACGTTTGCGTGAAATTTACCTGTTGAAAATTCACTACATTTGCGCGGATGAATTAAAAAAAATTATAGAAAAAATAAATCCTTGACTTTTTATAAACAAATTGTAATTTCCGAAGTTATACAAATTTACTTAGAGTTAACAAATATAAACTGAAATTAATTTGAATTGTTCAAAGGTTGTCGTTTTCATCTTGGACATGCCTGGTTTCGAAAAAGAAAAT